ACCGTGGGGTCCCCCCACCCCCACTCCGAAAATTGCACGGCTATGAGTACACCCTCCCCCCCCGAAAACAGGCTATCCCCTTTCTTACGGTGAACTCTCCCCGGCCCTATAGGGTGTATAGAGCGCAACATCATGCCAATATCATCGTGGCACATGCGTAGATCGTAGACCGTCCGCATGTGAGTACAATTATGCGATCGTACCCGCACCCAAGCCTTTACCAACCGAAACTAAACCAGTCAGCGATGACTGGTCCAATGGCGTGACAGCGGTTGCTAAGGGCGTAGGGCATGCACGATGGGCAGGCGTGGAGACTGCACAAACAAATGCAACGACCAAATCGTTGGATGGTGCAGGCTGACTTGTAGTACAGCGGGGTGTCCACGAACAAGGCGGTGGTGGGGCAGCTGAAAATGGTCGCCTAACAATGGGGCAGATGCCGTATTCAATGTGTAGAACAACTTGATTGTTCCGGCTACATATGCCAGTCATTCACCAGCCATACACAAAAAGGGCGACCTGCACATCCAGACCGCGTTATTCGGGGACCTTTTTTCACCAGCCATACACAAAAAGGGCGACCTGCACATCCAGACCGCGTTATTCGGGGACCCTCGCTAAAGCACACCCCGAGAAGAGGGTACGGGAAAGACCAAGCGTGAACTATTTCAATGCTGTGACTCTCACAATGGTTTCGGAGACTGGCTCATCCAGCGTGTTCATCATGCTCTGCGGTGTTCGTTCTGCTGTTTGCATACCTGCGTGCGAAAAAAAGGAGGCGAGGAGCGAAAAGGGGGGGTGGGGGATTCAACAAAGCCTGCCATGTCCCAAACATGTTCCCGTAACACTCCACAACAGTGCGTCTACATGTCAAGATGAGCTCCAGTTAGTTAATCACGTTTGTGTGTCACAGGCGTAGGTCTACACCATCTACAGCAGTAGTCGTTGGGACGTGGTGTACATACGCATGTGCATACGACCAACAACACAAGCTACGGACGGAAAATGTAAAATTTACATAGGGTTCTGCCGCGGTTTTCTTTCGGAGGTAAATGCTCGTATCTTATATATAACATCCACTTTTGAACGGCGGTGCTGCGCTGCACACGGCATTGTCGATCGTAGGGTGCGAAGCTGCTGACACGTGAGACGAAGCAGGATACACGAATGTCAATGAGTTTCTGATTCTTGAAGCTCGGTCGGTTGGGTCTCACGCTTGGTACAAGCACAGCCGGCCGCACTCTGATGTACGCAACGTTGATACGCCGCAGGCTCTTTGTTCAAAAAAGCGAAACAAAAGCGTCCCACCGCCGGATGTACAACAGCCGAAAGCCATGTGCAGCAAGCACTGCAGAGAACACGCTTGTCCGCGGTAAGCTCGGCGGTCACCTGAAGTGCTGGCAGTCGGTTACTTCGCGCTATTCAGCGCTGTTCTTGTGTCTATAGCAATCCCAATGTTCTAAGAGCAGAGCCCCAAGAGCTCGCAGGTTCATCAACTGTGTTGGATTTTTAAACTGTCACCTATCGGGTTGTGCGGCTGCGTGTCCTCGCGTGTGTTGGTTGTGCCCTCAGAGCCTAAGGCTCCGCTGTGTAACAACCCGCCTTGGTACTGCTGCCCTCTGTCCGCAAAACCTCTGTCCGGAAAACGTCCGGTTCAAAATTCTGCACACACGCCTTAGAGAGCACGAAACAAGGTGTGAACACATGCGCTTTTGCCGCAATCTTCCACACAAGCCCTCTCTGCTCTCTCCTTCTCTCTCGCTTGACCCTCGCCCAACTCTTGGACCACGGCACAGACTGATAGACTGCGGTAAGTCCCAATACACGCTATTCTCACTCCAGATATGCCGCAATAGATGCTAATTGGAACAAACAGGTTTGACTCACCGATGCCACCATCAAACTCTGCCATTGCCATAGCTTCTGCCATCTTCGCTTGCGCACGCTCCCCTGCGAGAGTTGTTTTCTCTGTGTCGTATGCGCAGCACGGAGAGGTGGCTGCCCTGTTTAGACACACACACAGCTGTGCCCGTGACCGTGAGGTGAGGTTTGGGGGGTCAACAGCTGGCTGAACGTTTATGTGCGCATAGATATCACGGACCCCCCCGTTGCATCCTGAAGTGATCCACATCCACATGATGCTTCAGAATTAGACGCATGCCTGAGCTGGAGGTGTGAATGAAGAGAGGTCAAGAGATCCTTGTTGGTGTGGGAGACTCGAGCTTCTGCCAAATTCCGTGCCCTTGGGCGTCTTGGAGTCGCCAGACAGCAGATGCGAACAGCAAGAGCCACCCCAGCCGCAACGAAGATGTCCGTCGGGTTCAAACCAAGATATCGCAGATTGCGTGCGGCGCGACCACCTGTCTTGCTGCCGTGAACAACAACAACAACAGCAACAACAGCAGCGCGATTGATCACGCACGTCCGTCTTTCCTTCTGGAATGGGGAACTGGCCTTTACGGCGAAAGATTGTCCACAGAAACGTCTGTACCACAGCAGGGAGACGAGCGAAACCACGCGTCGTTTTTGAATCACCCCGCACAGGTGGCGTTGTCGAGCTTGCCGTTGGGGCTCCGCAGCAGCCCTCCGGTGATTCGATACATCGCGTGCGGCGCGCATTTCGTCGTGGCTTCTCTGGAAAACGGCGGCTGCATATCGTGGGGTGGCGGTCGAGAGGGGAGGAGGGCCCTTGGGCGCGGGAGCTGTGGCACTTGTGGCCAGTGTCGTAACGGGTCAACCCCGGCGGCTCCACCGCTATCCTACCCCAGTAGCAGCAAGCCCGACTGGGTAGCAGAACCGCTGGGTTTGGGAGGTTCGAAGGTGGCCGACTTAGCGGCGGGGGACGATCATGTTATCGCTGTCGGCACGGACGGGAGCGCGTGGGCTTGGGGCCGAGGCGATTGTGGGCAGCTCGGCTACGGTTCACCTCCTGACGGTGCGGATTGTGACGGCGGCGGTAGCGCGTGCGTGCCGATGGCTGTCCAACTACCATCACCGGCGAGCGGCACTCCTCTAGATGAAGGTGGTCTTGCAAGCACTTCTTCTGGTGCTGCTGGTGCTGCTACTGGTGTGAAGTCGGGTCACGGTGTGCATGGAGCGCTTGTCATACGAGCTGCCTGCGGTCGAGATCACAGCGCCATCATTACAAATGATGGCCGGATCTGGACTTTCGGGAGCGGGCTCCACGGGCAACTGGGCTTGGGAACTGTAGGCGAGACATCGTCGATTCCCACCGTGGTAGACGCGTTAATAGGGGTAGGAACCATGCGACCGGACGGCTCCTTTACCGGCATGGAGGCTGTGGCGTGCGGTGCGTGGCACACAGCGGCTCTGTCTACGACGGGAGACGTGTACACCTGGGGATGGGCACGTTTTGGGTAAGTAGGTGTGAGATATTTCCAATAAAAGATGCGTTTCGTCAAGCTGCTGAATAACCTGTTACGTGTTGACTACCGACACGCTCTTCAGCGGGTACCTGCGAACATGATGCATGAACGGTAGACCCCTCATTATTCCCTGCAACCCAGACCCTCGCCGCAAGCAGTCGACGGAACTAAGGATTCGGCCGACCTCGCCGAGGGCAAGCAACACCAAAGCAGTAGGTGGTCCACCCTTCAACAACGGACCACAGCAGCAGTTGCGGAGGAATTTAGTTGCAGACCGCACGCCTAAAGCACCCAACGACCTGTTTCTCTCATCTCCGAAATGCCATCTCACACCGCTCGAAGACCCTCATTTGCCTCGGCTTCGGAATCCCTTTTTAACACGCGACAGGGCGTTAGGACCTTCGCCTTTTGTGACCGGTTCCCCCCTCCGGCCGCAACAAGACACCACCGCCTCCGCCACCGGGGATAGTGCTACAATCAACGACAGCGGTGCAAGCCCGGCAAGTGGCAAGAGGAAGCTCAAATCGGCACGCTCTACACCAGCAGAAGAGGAAGGTGAAGTTCGCCCATATCCTGGCCTCGTGGACGAGATGGATGATATTTTGGCGGACGATGACGACCAGCTCGTGTCCGTCTCTTGCGGCGCGCGGTACACCGTAGCAACGTCGACAAAGGGCAGGGCGTTTGTGTGGGGGCAAGTGGCGCCGCCTTTACAGCACTACGGCGGACGGGGCGGCGGCGGCGGCAGCGGGAAGCAGAAGGGCGGGGATGGCAGTAGCGTCAGAGGTACCGGCACGGGTGACGGGAAGGGGCGTCGGCTTGGGCCTTTCTCCGCCCCGAGAGAGATGAAACCCGCGGAGCTTCTTCAGGATGCTGCACCGCCGAACTCACAGATGGACGAGGGAGGGGAAGGTCGGTGTTGCTGCGAGGTGGGCTCCGCAAAAGGATTGCGTGCAGGGGCTGACGACGAAGGGGATTCGCGTTGGAGGGTGTCGGCGGTTGGGTGTGGGCCGTGGTTCGTTGTATTCGGACTCCAAGAGGAAGAGCGGCAAGGCTAACTGAAGAGGGCCAAAATCGGAGGCGGCAGTTTGGCCGTGAATTTGCGAGGACGCCGAAATCACCTTTAGAAGACAGTATCCCCTTCCCTCTCTTTGGAGGCGACCAAACAAGCAATATGGAGCCGTCGTTTGAGTCCTGCAACCGGAAAACAAATGCTTGGTTCTACCCAGCGGGCTGAGAACAACATCGGGACCTTGTGTCAGTCTGCGGGATTGAGGCTGGGTTTGTAGCCCACGACACACAGCAGCACCGTTCATCTACTGACCATCCAGAAGATATAAAAAAAGGACAAAGAGAACGCCGGGACTCATGTGGTTTTTAGTTTTTTCCGTTGCCCAGATATCAAAATTCTCGTTTCTCCGAGCTAAGTAAGACTATATTTCGCTGTGGAAATACTCGAGCATTCGTCGCGACATACTAGTGCAGACCTCCTGTAGGCTTTTGTAGCACAGGTAGACAGCAGACACTGCAAAAGGCATCGCTCTCCTGGAAGTTCGCCAGTACGTTGCGTGGTTTATCGCTTGGCGATTCTAGCCGACAAATATCTCGTTTGAGAGGGAGCATCGCCCATCGCCAGCATGAAAATTCCGTCAAGAGCACGGGGCGAACACATCCCCCCCCCCCCACAAGCAAAGCCCCGAGGAACTACAGCAATCACGGAAATGCGTAGGTAACACTCTGGATGCACGAGGTCAAAACGCAAACACACCTTAGTCGGCATCTACCATTGTCGTAAAAAATATGTTCTTGTTTCCATCCAACACCCAAAGTCCACTTTCGACATTTTATACAGTCGCCCGACACTACCAAACACTCGCCGCACAGAGGGAGATTGACCCGCAAGTATCGGCGATAGTAAAAAAAATTGCAACTCTAATGGGCGGCGAGCAGCACTGACTCCCTGCTCTTCATGCCGGCTCACAGCGGTGCACCTCCAACTTTGCCCGTGTTTGGCAAAGGGCTGAAGAATCAAAAGGCGTGCCAAGGCAAAAGTACTTATCCAAACACACGAACTCCAAACGGGATGTGGCCAACCCGTCTGCACGACGTGGCCACAATATAATACACCACGGGGGACGTCGTGAAGTGGTGCACCCATTACGACCCAAAACAACACAAAACGGTATCGCAGAGCACAGGGGCCTTGAGGCCCACGAGCAGGCATCTGGAAAGCATGAGAGGGGAATAAAATAATCACGCACAGGTCAGCCTAGACTGTTGTGGCGGGCTTGAAAATGTTGAACCCATCTGCCGCCGTGCTCATGATCACTCCTGGAATCTGAGGGTGAAAGTGTAGCTCCTTGATGTCCGTCTGTCCCTGGTGGATGAAAAGAAGCTGCGGCGGTAGATCCTTTAGCCCGCCTGCCGCCCCCCCCCCACCAGCTCCCGCCATTGCCGCTGCCGCTTCGTCATCCGCCTCCACCGACAAATCCCACACCGTTAATTGGTTGTCTGCCCCCGATACCGCCAGCATGGACTCATCCGTTGGGTGCCACTCGATGGACGTTATCGGAGCCTGTGTTTTTTGGGGGGTAGGGGGTGATGTGAAGTCTTGATTGCGAGACAACTGAAGACACCCGGGCGTCCTGAAAAGAGTGCTGCTGCTGTGAGGTGTCTAACACCGGTACATGGCACAACATCTTGATCGCACAAACGGCACCAGTGTTGTCTGATGCGAACATGCTGGTTGCTCGAACAGACCATGGGGACACCCTGAGCGATGCTCTAAACACTTGCGAGCCGCAACAGCCAGGAGAGGTGAGGCCAAAAACAAATGAACGCATGTGCCACACCCGTATCGCTTGTACCTTCCATACCACACAACAGGAAAGACCCGCTCACTTACGCCACATAACCCAAAAGAAGCAAGCTCAGCGCAGCACCAACCATGAAACCGCCGCACCGCACCTTATGCCATCGGAACTGCGCAACGGGCTCCCCGCTCCCGAACGCCCGGAGGTCCCAGATCTTGAAGATTCCGTCGTCCGAGCCCGAAGCCAGGAGGTACGTAACGTTTCGGTTCCACGTGATGACGTTTACGTCCTCCTCGTGCGCCTTGAGGCTGAGCATCGCCCCGTTCTTCTTGCGGAGGTCCCAGACCGCCACGGTCTTGTCCGCCGAGGCGGAGGCGAACACCTGTTCGTCAATGCCCGCCCAAAAACAAGCAAAAATCGGAGAAAAATAAATAACCGATGATGGTACATCTGCTGGGTCAACTTTGTGTCGGAGGACACAGAAAGGAGATATAAAAAATATCAACGGCCACCACGGCCCGCTCCATTAGACAATGCACGGAAGTACATGAATGTGTTCAACTTCGCTATGCGCATACTTAGCCACTGCCAACTGCCGTATCAACACTATAATAGCACACACAAAGAATGACGCGAAAGATTCTCGGGGATGACGTTGTATGAGACTGCTGCACCTGTTCGACGGTAAAACCCATCACGCATCAACAACAATCAGCTTGCAACATTGATGCTAGCGCCCAAACACTAGGCGCGTAGCTGTTGGTGATACATACCGTTGTCTCCGTTGGGCTCCACTGGAGGTCTTCCACCGATGCGACGTGCCCGACGAACGGTACGGGGTCCGTTACCCAGCCCCCCTCGACGGTTCGGGTCACGTGCACGCTGTTACCGCAGTCGCCGGTCGCTAACCGTCCTTCTTCTGTTGGCGACCAGTCTAACGCAAAACCCTCCTGCACACGGTAGCCAGACAGGGACGAACGGGGGTGGTATCTAAATGGCGTTTCCGGCTTGTCGTGAGTGATCGGACCATTGACCGAGCATCGCTTTCGAAGCAGAGCGCCACTGTTCCTACTCCGAACAAAGATACTACCAACAGCAGTCAGTCCTCTTTCGTGTTTTTCGATATACTGGCAACAACCCTTATCCTGTCCCCTTTTCCGCATTCCCGCGCACCTCATCATGGAGAAACCCTCAACAACACGCAACCCCTATCCCTATCCCGACTCCTTCTCCAACAGTAGCACTCGCCTCCATGTGCCCATCGAACGTGAAGGCCGGATCCACCTTCGATTTTCTCGGCGCGCCTGCGTCGTTCCGTATTTTCACATGGACATTAAAACATAGACAGCGGGGACCGGGCTCAAAGTTTGGCCCAATTCGACGGTACTTTCGGTGTCGGCAGTGTTGTAAATAGAAACAAAAACGACGATAACGGCCGTCGTCCAGGCCGTATCAATGGTGCCTCTGGCCAACGCTGAGCTTAATAGTACTCCAGATTATGTAACCCTACTCATGCATCTGGGTGTGCGCGCAGGTCTGTTGGAGGCGAACAAAAAAAGAAGATCTCAAACAAATCCTGCACATGAGTGCGGGCAGCGCACTCACGGCCGGCGCGTGCAGGCGGCGCACTCACTTCCGGCGCGTACACACGCGCTCACTCACCTTTTGCCGCGAGGGCAGACACCTGCTCCTCGAGGTCCCACACGTATACGTCCGACGTCTCCGACCAGGTGGCCACGACACCCGGGCGCTGCGGCATCGACCGCACGCGGTTCACCCCGCCCCGGTGCGGGATGTTGATGTGGTCCAGGGTAGGGTCATCGTCGGTCTCGTCCTCCCCTTCCTCGTCTGACGACTCGTCGTCGTCGTCGTCGCTGCCGTCGCCGCGTTGCTTTTTTCTGCCCGTGCGGTGAAGATCCGAGAGCTTCATGACCTGGATAGACAAGAAAGGACGGGTGTGTGTTGGAGCTCAGGGCCGACATAAAATACTCGTCGGGCCTTGGGGCCGTATGCATGCACGTCTGCATTCGCCTTATCAGTCGTGTGCGAGGTGAGGGGAGAGGAGGGGAAGATGAAATAGAGAGGGAGATTCGGTAAGCTTTGCTCCTGGTGGTATACGGCGCTACTGGAGTCCACCGACAAGAAGATACAGCCGTGAGCTTGAATACAGCTACCCTGCTGGGACCATCACCCCATTGCTTGTTTACGCTCCTCACAGCAGTCAAGGAGAAACAGCAGTGAACGTGAAAGCTACGCAGCCCCCCGTCGACACAGTACGGCAGGGAACATAAAGCGCTTGAAACAGGGATTCACTAACACACCTGTAGGCGGTTGTTGTCGGCGCGGTCGGCCTGGGTGCCCGCGACGGCAAACACGGTGTGGGGATAGCGGGAGCGGTTCGCACCCAGGCTGTCTCGGATCACGTCGAAGCTGAGGCACGGCCACTCCGGTCTCAGCGAATGGTACATGTGGTAGGCCGTGCTGTCGTACTCCAGCTCATCCCCTTCTGCCAGATCGTCCACCCCGGCTCGCCACACCTTCGTCTCTTGTGGCGCTGCTGCTCCCTCAGCGTCCGTGGCGGCGGTGCTGGAGCCACTTGCTGCAGCGTCTCCCGTCTCTGCGTCCATGCCACCATCATCGTCGTCGCCATCTTCTTCCGGCTCTGCATTCATGGCGTCGATGTCTTCCGGGTCGAACTCATCTCCGAACGGGTCTTCGAACACGAGCTCCTCCTCCTCCTCCTTACTGCCGTCGCCGCCGCCACCAGTGGTAGCATGCGGCGCAACCTTCTTCGCGGTCGAGGTCGCCGCGTCTTCGCCGCTTCGCTGTCGCTTTGAGGTAGACTGGGACGTCGGGGAAGCTGGAGAAATGTCCACCTTCCTCGGAGTGGCCGTCTTGCTGCCTGCTGTCTTCTTGCCCATGGTGCTGTCAGGCTGGGGAGCTGGGGAGGTGGTTGGATGCGACGCGCGATGGCTGTGGGCTACCAGAGGGGTACTCCGGCAGAGACAAGGACCATATCCCGCTCTCTCGTTGGCAACGCGTTCTCCTGTCTGTTGTGCCCCATCTGTGACGCAGATTGGACGCAGCTGTCGGCTGAAACAGACGAGTAGCCCACCAACTGCAAGCCGACCACGTTGCGCTCTCGCTTCTGAGAGAGGGGCCGCAACACACGCCACACACACCACACATCGCGGCATCATGGTGTTGTTGAGGAATGTGGCTGTGCTCGCCGTGCTTTCGTTGTCAGCAGCGGTAGTTAGTGCCTTTGTCCCGGGGGGAAACCCGGGCGGCATGGCAAAAGCTGCTGCCGTCAAATTGGAGGGCGGCGGCACCAAGACGCCCATCAGAGCGATAACCCACCCCCGGACGAACGTGAAGGAGATTGCCAGCGTGAGCAACACGGAGGAGTTCGAGAGCTTGCTCGGGTTGGCGAGACCGAAGCAGGTGCGCTTGAAAGCAAGAAGGGGGGTAAGAGCCCGAAGTTAGACTTGAGACTTCAGACCAACCAAGAACGTACCTGCCGGAGAACAGCTAGAGGAAGCAGAAAAGTTGTTCATCGGCGCGCACATTCTCAAGAGGTTGGTTGTTGCTGAAGAGATTCAATGCTCTTGTCCCTGCTGCTCCTCATTCTCACCCGGCTTACGGTAGCCCATCCGAACTAATACCACGTGGCACGGTCTTTCGAAGATTGGGTGGCACAGGGTGCGCCCACTAACCTAAAATAAAATAACCACAAGGACCAGTCAACCAGTCGTTGTGCTTCTTCAAATGCGACGTATGTGCTTCAATTTGGCAAACGTACTTTTGGTGTCAGTTGATCAACTGATTGGCCGCCGCAGGTTGTTCACTGGAGCACCGATAGCGCCTCAATGGCAAGCCCCCCCCCCGCACCCCCGGTTGCATAAGCGGTTGGTTTGCGATTGGCGTAGTGGCCTCCTCCATGGTATGCACCCACTCTCTTGATAGCGCACGACGCGTTGCTAGACCACGCCCGCCGGCGCTCTCCGTCACTCGGTGATTGTTGCAATTCCGAGTGCACTCTTCGTTTGGTACGAACGCAAGTTGCTCTTCTGTACCCCTTTCATGGAAATAGCGTTGTAGAACCCACGAGGGAGGAGACAAGCCCCGATGCCGGACTCAAGTGGGATATATTGAAGCCCTTGCAACTGCAGTTAAGGCTGCCCGTGTGAGACAACCAACGCCTGGTCCACGTTTTGCAACGCCGATGCAGCAGCAGCCACAGCGGAAAAGTTTAGGATTTTTTTTTTGTAAGCTCCACATCAACATCAACCCGTCCCCTACCCCCCGGGCCGCTCCCCCCCTAGATCCGCCTCCCATCCCCTCCCTCGGTGTTTCGTTCAGTGTTATAGTGTGTGTATACATGGACTCTCGTATGACCGCAGGTGTCGCATTAGCGGCACACGCAGCGAAGCGTACGTGCC